TTTAATAAATAGGCACACTGATCACCTTCACCATCAAAATAAGGTATTCACACAGTGCTGAATAACTAATGTCACAAATAAATTTAAGATTTTTTAATTCTTTCATTTGTCATCTGTTAGTGTAAATTATGATATTTTTTAGTTGAAATTGACATTGGTTAAGCATTCTAGTGTATCTGAAATCTTGAATAATTGTAAGGTTTTCTTCTATAATTTTCAATAAGCATTCTAGTGAATGTAAAATCTTCCATAATTGATTTTTTGAACTGAGTTGGCTTCATTAGGTACCAATGTGTTATCCAAAAATTTTGTCTTCTCATGTATTCGACAATTACACATTTCAGAGGTTATTATTTGATATTTATGAGAAAAAAAATATTGTGAAGTTTAATAAATAGGCACACTGATCACCTTCACCATCAAAATAAGGTATTCACACAGTGCTGAATAACTAATATCACACATAAATTTAAGATTTTTTAATTCTTTCATTTGTCATCTGTTAGTGTAAATTATGATATTTTTTTAGTTGAAATTGACATTGGTTAGGCATTCTAGTGTATCTGAAATCTTGGATAATTATTTGGTTTTCTTCTATAATCTTCAATAAGCATTCTAGTGAATGTAAAATCTTCCATAATTGATTTTTTGAACTGAGTTGGCTTCATTAGGTACCAATGTGTTATCCAAAAATTTTGTCTTCTCATGTATGTGACAATTACACATTTCGGAGGTGATTATTGGATATTATGAAAAAAAAAATTGTGAAGTTTAATAAATAGGCACACTGATCACCTTCACCATCAAAATAAGGTATTCACACAGTGCCTAATAACTAATGTCACACATAAATTTAAGATTTTTTAATTCTTTCATTTGTCATCTGTTAGTGTAAATTATGATATTTTTTAGTTGAAATTGACATTGGTTAAGCATTCTAGTGTATCTGAAATCTTGGATAATTATTTGGTTTTCTTCTATAATCTTCAATAAGCATTCTAGTGAATATAAAATCTTCCATAATTGATTTTTTGAACTGAGTTGACTTCATTAGGTACCAATGTGTTATCCAAAAAATTTGTCTTCTCATGTATGAGACAATTACACATTTCAGAGGTTATTATTTGATATTTATGAGAAAAAAAAATATTGTGAAGCTTAATAAATAGGCACACTGATCACCTTCACCATCAAAATAATGTATTCACATAGTGCTGAATAACTAATGTCATACATAAATTTAAGATTTTTTAATTCTTTCATTTGTCATCTGTTAGTGTAAATTATGATATTTTTAGTTGAAATTGACATTGGTTAAGCATTCTAGTGTATCTGAAATCTTGGATAATTGTAGGGGTTTTTTTCTATAATTTTCAATAAGCATTCTAGTGAATGTAAAATCTTCCATAATTGATTTTTTGAACTGAGTTGCTTCATTAGGTACCAATGTGTTATCCAAAAATTTCGTTATCTCATGTATGCAGCAATTACACATTTTACAAGTTATTATTTGATATTTGTAAGAAAAAAAGCATTGCAAAGTTTAATAAATTGGTACACTCATCACATTCACCATCAAAATAAGGTATTCATACAGTGCTGGATAACTTATATCACACATTAATATAAGAATTTATGATTCTTTTATTTATCATCTGTTAGTGTAAATTATGATATTTTTATAGTTGAAATTGACATTAGTTAAGCATTCTAGTGTATCTGAAATCTTGGGTAATTTTAGGGTTTTCTTTTACAATCTTCAATAAGCATTCTAGTGAATGTAAAATAATAAAAATTATTTTATGGTCCTGCACTCGGTTTTCTAAAATAGGATTACAATGTGATTATTGATCCTTGATGGATTGGGTTATACTTTTCAATTTCATGGATTGCAATGATATTTGTTATTAAGAATTTTATGTTAAGTTTTTGACATAAAGGACCTAGGTATATAGAGTATGTCCTTGACATTAGTATTCATAGAGATCACGCTACTAGCATACTTGGATTTATTCTAAAGGCACTTATGTTTATGAAAAATTAAAGGGTGACCGAGCGTAATAAGCATATAGACATAAAGTACATTTTTAAGTGTAAGAAGGTTAAGTTTTTTAGGATGTATTTTTTAATGGTAAAATTTAACTTCAAATAACAACATAAATAATATGTTGAATTAAGTTAAATTTATATGTGACATTAGTTATTCGGCACTATGTGAATACCTTCTTTTGACAGTGAACGTGGTGAGTGAGCAAATGGCAATTAATATCAAACTCTTCTTTTGACGGTGAAGGTAGTGAGTGAGCAAATGTATTAATATCAAATTCGGCGGGGGAACTTGTGCCACAACGCACCACCACTGGTTGGCATGTGTGCATAGATTACTGGAAACTAAACTCTGCAACTAAGATCATTTTCCGCTTCCATTCATTGATCAAATCCTAGAAAGGCTAGCCAGCCAAAGTTATTATTGTTTTTTTGATGGTTATTTCGGCTATAACCAAGTGGCTGTAGATCCTCAAGATCAAGGGAAGACCACCTTCACTTGTCCTTTTGGAACTTTTGCTTATCATGCCCTTTGGGTTATGCAATGCACCGGCCACTTTTCAGAGATGCATGATGTCCATATTTTTTGATATGGTCAAAAAATTTCTGGAAGTGTTCATGGACGATTTTTCCGTCTTTGAATCTTCCTTTGACTCTTGCCTCCATAATTTGTCTCTTGTGTTTCAAAGATATAAGGAGACAGATCTGATCTTAAGTTGGAAAAAGAGTCACTTCATGGTGCAAGAATGGATTGTCTTGAGACCCATTATGATATACATTATTTAACATATCTTTGAATTTTTTTTGGCAAAGTTTACAAATGGTGATGTTACTTTTTAGACTCCTGTGATGTTACTTATAAATGATGGTAAAATGTTACTTATAACAAAATAAATCATCTTCACCCTCAAAATAAGATATGCACATAAGTAATGTCACATACAAACGTAATTCAATTCAACATATCATTTATGTTATAATTTGACAATTCAACATATCATTTATGTTATAATTTGAAATTAAAGTATTTTAAAAACACTTTAACATGTTAATTTAAATAATTTAAACCAAAATTAAAATCACTTGGATTAACTTTAGACAACAAACCAAGCACTTATTGTTTCCAAAAATAATGAAAAGAGTCACATCTTTTCTTTTCTTTTTTTTTTCTTCCAAATATTAAAAAAAACATACACTTAGGTATAAATTATTTAACATATCTTAGAATTTTTTTTAGCAAAGTTTACAAATTGTGATGTTACTTTTAGACTCTTGTGATGTTACTTATAAATAGTGGTAAAATGTTACTTATAACAAAATTGATCATCTTCACCCTTAAAATAAGGTATGCACATAATACAGATTAAGTAATGTTACATACAAACGTAACTCAATTCAACATATCATTTATGTTATAATTTGAAATTAAAGTATTTTAAAAACACTTTAACATGTTAATTTAAAGAATTTAAACCAAAATAAGGTATTCACATAGTGCCGAATAACTAATGTCACACATAAATGTAACTCAATTTAACATATTATTTATGTTGTTATTTGAAGTTAAATTTTACTACAAAAAAATAGAGCATTCTAAAAATCAACTTCACATGTTAATTTAAAGAGTTCCATCATAAGGTTAGTCACTTGGATTAACTTTAGACAACAAACAAAATGTTCAATGTTTTCCAAAATAATGAAGAGAGTTGCAACCTTTTTTTTTCTTTTCAAGTATTAAAAATGCATACATTTAGTTGTTTTCTAAAAGTGAACCATGTAGTTCTTTGATATAGATCCGTTACTTTCATACCATTGTGTTATCGAAAACAACTTAGTAAAGTCTGGTATTAATTGTCATTTGCTCACTCTCCACCTTCGTACTGTTATGTTATTGAAAAATACTTGAAAAATTTGATATTAGTAGCCATTTTCTCACTCATCACCTTCACCCTCATATCAAGCTATTCACATAGTGCCGATTAACTAATGTCACACATAAATGTAACTCAATTCAACATATTATTTATGTTGTTATTTTGTTTGTTGTCTAAAGGTAGCCCAACTGACTTTAACATTGGGATGAAACTCTTTAAATTAACATGTGAAAGTGTTTTTTTAATGCTCTGTTTTTTGTGGTAAAATTTAACTTCAGACAATAACATAATAACATAAATAATATGTTGAATTGAGTTATATTGACATGTAACATTAGTTATGGGTACTATGTGAATACCTTCTTTTGAGAATGAAGGTAGTGAGTGAGCAAATGGCTATTGATACCAATCTTTTGCCAGGGTTTTTTTGATTCATTTATCACTCTAGTCTTGTGAGCTTACTTTTGTACATCAATCTTTAAAGAGATACTTTTGTACTACCACTTTGTTACTTGAAAACATTGTAAGGGTTGGTGTGACCCAAAGGAAGACCAGGAAAATGTTATTCTCTTAGCAAGCAAAGGAGAAGCAAGATCTTGCTTCTTGTTAAGGTTTGCTCTCCCCCTTCCTTTAGAGTCAATTATTGGGTACCAATACGTTTTTTTAATACCTGAAAAAAAAAAAAAAATTTGTGACTTAATTTGGGATGAAACTCTTTAAATTAGTATGTGACAGGTTTTTAATTCTCCTTTTATGGTAAAATTTAACTTCAAATAATATGTTGAATTAAATTATATTTATGTGTGACATTACTTATTTTGCACTATGTGAATCCCTTCTTCAGAAGGTGAAGGTGGTGATAAAAAAAATAGTTACTTTGAAGACTCTCTTAATGTTACTATACGAGCATTGTTGATATAAGATAACTAAGAAAGACAATTTTCTATGAAGGATTCTGAAGTTACTTTAAAAAACTATGGTGAATATAAAGTTGTTAAGAGAGAGAGATAAGTTAATTACTAAATTAGATTTATTGTAGCGCGAATATTCGTTGCAATGACATAAGAAACACAATTCAAATATTTCTTCAAAGACATTTCATAAATTGATAAACAATTAATTACAATATATCCATGATGCCTTCATTGACACTTGGAGTAATTTAAATTAAAAGAATCAAACTTCTTCAATTCTATCAATCTAATACAATGGTTATAATAAAAATAATAATTCAAGTTTCAGAAAACTTTATATCAATTCTCTATCAACGTATGCAATGGTTTGCACCGTGTGCTTCATCTTCAATATTAATAAAGTCAAAATCCAGGATCATGGTATCTGCATCAATGGCACTAACAACCTGCATTAAAAAAAATGTCATTTTACTAATAGATAAATAAATAAATCTACTTGAAGAATAGGTGCTTAATGAAAACTAAAAGCAGATGATTCAATTAGAATACTAGTAAATGACGGAAGACCGGTGGTGATCTAGCATAATTATATGTCTGATAAAAAATTGTGAAGCATCAAACGTGTTCTACATCCCTAACATAATCACTGAGATTAAAATTGATGCATGAGCATTGATTCCGGAAAATAATTAACAAGTATTAATTAAAACAGCTTATAAATTAAGCTAAACTAACAAGAGTTCTCCATATCTAAAATAATTACTACCTAGCCGCAGCGTCATGAGCAGTGTCAAATCCACTTGACAACCCGACATCAATAATTACCAAAAATAAAAATAGAACAAAATTCAAACCTAAATAATACCTAGGTAATGATAATCAACACAACAGACGAATCATATAATCATATCCACACCCAAATACACTTGTTTCCCAAAGTCCCAGCACCAAATATATATATATATATACACACACACACATACATATATATATACATACATACATAAAAATATACAAATAGAAGTTCAAATTATGCCCAAGTACAATAAAGTGAAATAGAAAATGTAACAATACAATCAATTACATATTTTCACCAGAATATTAACCAGATATGCATTCCTTTGGTTGCGAATAATTCCTCAATCCTGTTGTATATTATAGACATCTACACAAACGTGTATTTGGGTAGGAAAGACATCAACTAAATTGTAATCCAAAAACAAGGCCCCTAATGAGAGATTTTAGATTGTCCACCAACCATGGATCACCTTACATTGTGAAAAAATAATAATAATAATTAATATTATCATCACTAGCATCTTTGCCGCAATCACAGTGTGTGTATCCTATATCGGTAGAACTTTCAGGATATCACAATTTTGCAAGCACCATAACAATAATGCTGTATTAAAGCCTTACCTTTCAAAAGGAAGTCAGGGTTTCGAGCCTCAGTGGAGGCATGTGTATGTGAGTACCAAAACTAAGAAAAAAAAATGTGGTGGGACTCAAATGCAAAGAAACAAAGAAAATAACATCACCATGCCAACAACTTGAAAACTTTGTTTTCGCACAAAATGATTACTTTATCAAATAATCAAAAAATTGGTTCTTATATTCTAGGCAAGCTTAGCAGCATAAGATTTTATTATAGTACACATCAGAACAAAGAATGCAGATTGATCTTGACTATACAAAGTCAAATGCTAGTTCACAATTGCATGTGATGAACGTAAATCAGAAGAACATGAGGATGCTTTAAAAATTTTAATGGATAAAAAGTGTCAGCTTTATTGCAAACCTATGAAGAGCATACAATAATGCAAATAATTAGAAATATAAATACTAATCTATAAAAATGGACCCTACTTATTTCCAAGATACCAAATCCTCTTTCTTTCTAGTTGAATCAAATTGGAATATATTGTAATTGCTTAAATGCATATCACTGACAAGAATAATATATGGATGTTAAAGAATTAAGATACTTATCATCAACCAAAGTCGGTATACTATGTTTCCAAATGGTTCAAGCGTCACAAATTTCAATGCATGTGATAGAGTTATTAAAACCATTAGACTCTGCACCATTATCTCAAACATATTAATAGATCATGCAATTTGCTGTGATGTTGTTTGTGTTGATAGGTTAGGTTAAAAGAATGAAAATTGTTAGTATAATTCTAGAGCTATTGTTGCAGGAGAAAATTGTTTCTAGAGAAGTTTAAGGGGGAAATTATTTTTTGGTAAAGTGCGAAGGAGGAAAATTATGAAGACAAATAAAATAATTTTCCATTAAAATTTCATCATTATTAGTTGTAGCATTTCTGTAACTCAAAAGAAGATGAAACATACTATGAAATCCCACTGCAGTGTTCTAAGCAACTGAGCAGAACATTGATTAGTATGGAAGAGAAAACAAAAGACAAAAGTGTAGTGTTCCTCTAGCCATTTTATACACAATTTTCCACGGCAACGTTCATGCAATTTGTTATTCTCTTAAAAAGAACTGCACATATATGAACATTTTGATGGAAAACAAAAACCCTTTTGGAAGATGATAAACACAACTTTTCGTTTCTTAGGTGAGCCACTAAAAGATATAGTAAAGTTTTATGTATTTCCTCCCAAAGTATTAGCTCTGAAAAAATGAAAACACAGAAAGATCGAGATATTCAAGGACCTTTGATTTTTTTATTCGAATAACTTATCTTAGAATTCTCCTGGAGTACTTACTTTTCTCCCTCTTTACCCAACCTACAACATTATACAACATACTTTGAAATTTTACAATGATTTCTAACTCCAACACAATTCTTAATAAATGTTGACAGAAACTAAGAATTATGCATTGGTGTGTAATGCTTGAGATTAACAACCAATCCACAAAAATTGTTTAAACTTAATAGTGAGATAAGCTAACTATGAAGGTACATAAAAAAATTACAGATCCTCGAATGCTTATGATTTCAATCAAAGAGACAAGTGAGCTTGAGATGATTCGGAAAGGAAAATTAAATTTAAAATTCCTTTAGGAGTAAAAACTTTCAATCAAATACCACATATGTTGAAGGACGGTTTCAGATTATTATCAATTTCCTAATATGGGTGTGAAATAGTATCAATCTACAAAATCGTAGCTTTATAGAAAATTGAAATAACTGTCTAGTAAATCACCCTCCCACATAAATCATTGGTTTTGTGTACTCTCACATTTTTGAAGGCTTGGGAAAACTGTCATGAGTAAATTTCCAAGGCACGCTGAGACTGCCCTTAATCTTCATCGCACCCCTGCATCCATCAGTGTATCACAAAAACATCAAAACATTATTTTTTGGTACTTTATTTGTAAAGTATGAAAAATAAAAGATTTGAAAAAGACTAATATGAAAAGAGAACGAGACCTCATGAAAGCAATCTGGGGGTTCAACTTGCCAATGGAGACCTTAACAAATCTTCATCCTTGAAAGAAAAGGTGGCATCAGGTTTTTCACTTTCATATATACCTAAAATTCTCCAAAAAAATCAATAAAATAATTACACAAATAATCAAAGAATCGCATCAATTGACGCATTCTAGCTAAATGCGAGAACGCATAGTAACAATATATATATATATATATATATATATATATATATATATATATATATAGCTGTAAAATGCACTGGACTGACGAGAGGGTTTGAGGCTTGCTTGATTATCGAAATTGATTCAGAATTGAGATAAAATTAAGAATGAAATAGAGTATAAATGAGAAACCCTTACCTTTGCTCAGGAGTTTCATTTGGTCCATGAGGTCGTCAGACTTGAGCTGAGCATCGGCCATGGCTGGTAAATTGGGCTTTGGTTGTTGAGTGACTATGCGAATGAGTAGATGATTATTGCTGGAACTGACCGTGGATTCAGCTATATGTTGTTGAAGATGAAAACTCTCGTATTCTTGTGCTATACAATCTAAATCGCATCTGAGAGAAAAATAATGTTGAACCTGAGAACCCTAAATCAAATATTTGGATCTGCTATACTTATTTATCTGTGCTATAAAATCTAAAATTATTGGGTTATATGGCTAATGGCTGGGTGTCAAGGCGAGAGAAATTCAGATCTAATCATTCTGAAATAGAGAGGATTTTAGATTGAGACAGTCTTCTCCAAGTCGCATCTAAAAGACAAAAAATAATTGTATATTAAATACGTATATACGTAATAACTTGGGGTATAGAGCTAGTTTAACCGTGGTTAAGGTAAAAAGGAAAAAGTAGACAAAAGAACGAATGTAGACATGGCAAGTTTTGGACCGCTTATTAATTTCGACGACTACGTTTTGATTGCACCGCATGGGACCGCAGGGATACCTACAGCAGGGGATTCACGCCCCCAAAAACCTAGAACTCTATAAATTAATCTCACAGCCATAAATCTATATATGTAAAAACACACATGGATAAATCAGCCACATTTTTCAGGACCTCATGAAAATATTCCGTGCATTCCCTTGGGTTTTACATTAGTTTAAAATGTTGTCACAAACAACTTTGGGCAGTCCGTGGCCGGTCCTATGCTGTCTCCTTGGCATTTCAATTCTATAAATACATCCCTTTGTGGCAATTACTTCCATAAGCAACCCTAAGAAAACCAACTGATAAAAGGTAGGAGCCATTAATAAACTCTAAAAAGTTGCAATGGCCTCTACTCAGATCATCATCATCACCATCCTTGCACTCATCGCTCCAATTCTTGCAACGGAATTCATTGTTGGAGACAACGACGGTTGGAAGACCGACGTCGATTACTAAGCTTGGGCCAACGGAAAAATGTTTATGGTCGGAGACACACTAGGTACATCGTAATATACTATGGTATACTAATTTATGTTTTTTCGCTCAATACTATTCAATCCTGACCATTGGTACGAATTAACTTTCTTAATGTAGTTTTCAAATACGAGAAGGGATCCCACAACGTGTTCAAGGTGAACGGAACTGGCTTCCAACAATGCATTGTGCCTCCGCCCAACGAGGCTCTGACTAGCGGAAACGATGTCATCACCCTTAAGGCTGGGGGACCGAAATGGTACATTTGCGGTATGGGGCAGCACTGTGAGGTGGGGAAGCAGAAGCTTGCCATAATGGTATATGATTCAATGGCTCCAGCACCTATGCCTGTACCTGAAAAGGACTCTGCCACACAAGGAATGGTTGCTTATGGGTTGATGGCTGCGGCATTTGGGGTTCTTTTGATTTTCACACTTTAAAAATTTTGAATTTTGTGCAATTTTAATAAGTATTGCTCTGGTTTGAATTTGGAGTATGGATTATTGGTCTGTACTTTTGTTTGAATCCCATGTGGGTGGGTATTAGCAATAAGTTCTCAGTTGTGTGAATTACGGATTCAGAAATTAGAGGAAAAGCAAGAAACAAGCTTTTCAACATTTTTTTTGTGTAGCATATGCAAATCATAATTATTGGGTTCTACTTTTGAAACCCAGTCACATAAAATTGTATATGCACATGCAAATCTTATACCTTTTTCTATTTTCTTGATATCAATTTACGTTCTTTAGTCATAATTGTTTGCATACAAGCATACCCTTCAGCCACTAAGAGCCTTATAGTTTGGTGGTGTGTCTCATCTATTTTTCAAAGTAGATAGTGAGATTTCAATTTTTTGAAAAAGTAAAAATAGGTGAGTAAGTTTACTACTGAAATAATTCATGATTAAGTGACAAATGGCAATGACATAACCTGACTTTAATTGGCTATTACATAAAATAAGATGAAAAATGATTAAATATAAGAGTGGGTTATTACTTATTTAAAGAAAAGGAACATGTAATGACTGACAAATGGTACAAATTTGTAATCAACGGGATGTGGAGTTTGCAAACCCATTTTTTGTTGTCAATTCCTTCATTTTAAAGTCTTTTTTGTAAGACCAAAATTCCAAGAATATTTTTTTTTTTGGCCAAACATGTTGTACTATTGTGGACATTTACTAAGTTTATTTTATTTTATTTTATTTTTTTATTTTGAGCACGTGAATCGATTCCATAATATGTACATCATTTATGCCAGAAATACGATTTAAAAACGATACCTCAAGAATTTACTTACTACATTTCTACTAATGCCACTATGCGGACATTTGCTAAGTTCACTGTGAATGTACATGAAATCTAAATATGCCCCCATTGTATTTTTTTTGTTTCACTTACTTTTCAGTAAAAGTCCATTAATGTATCTTGGTTGGTAAAAGTCTGATGGCCCAGAGTAGCCCATCAGTTGAGTCAACGGGCTGTGAAAATGGGTGCTTTGATATTGAGTGGTCCATTTGGCCCAATTGTTTAGCCCAAGCCTTGAGGTAGATTTTAATCCTTCTTTTGCTGCTTTTATTTTAAAACACTTCAAACAGTAACCAATTTTCCCTCAATAGAGTTAATTTCTAACTTTTAAAGCTGAACCTGTCTATATTTTAGGTAAGTTTTTCCTTGCACAATTTTATTTTATTTTTCTTAAAGACAATTTCAACATTTCTTTTTATAGAGATGTTATTATCATTATTGTAAAATTTACAATAGAAGTGTAAGTATGAAATTATGAGACTTTAAATGTTAGGATTATGTGGAATACTGACAAACTTCAAAGGAAGTAAATGAAATTCATCAACTCACAAACTGAAGGTGCCCGGGTTCAAATCCCCACTCCCCCTAATTTGCCAGACAATTTATAAAACAAATAAAAAATTCCTATTTTTTATGAGATTCGGAAGGAAATGAAAGGAGGAAGCATGTGTTGTGTAGTCTGTCATTCCCATTGAACAAGAAGGTGGTCACTTAAAAGTAAGGCAGCCACAATAACAGATTATTGTTAAAATTTTGTGTCAATGTTTATCATGAGTTCCTTAATGCGACTCATTTTGAACCAAGAAAATGTACTTCAAAATGTTACTTTAAATGATTAAATATCATGGAGCCATTCAATGTACACTGGACAAACCATGTGAACCCAAGTTGAGGATGCAGCAAGTGGCATGGGCCGGATACAGTTCGCTGGAACGGGATCGGGTCGAACAATTGAAGTAGGATCCATGCCAAAGCACCCCGGAATGGACCGAACCTGGGGAATCCACCGAGGAAGATCAAGCCCAGAAGCAAGAAAACTTTTGAATATAGGCCCAATGTAATCAGTTAACAACAATAATGGTAATGGCCTACAAATAGACCATTACAAGTGGAAAATAGGGGGAATTTTTCTGGATTCTATTGAAGGGTAAGAATTCTAGAGAGAGAAAGAAGAAACGAATTCGTGCATCTTCAATTGGCGCTGTCTGTGGGAATCGAGGACGAAGATCAATTCGAGCCCGATCAGTACCATATTAGTTCAGTCGAGTTTGTGAGTACACAGTGTGATTTCTGGAAGTTGAATCCAGATCAGTGAGATTGTAGTCTGTTCAGAGATAATTCTTGCTTATTGTGGATTCTGAGGCATTTGCTTCGGAACGACGCAATTGTGATTTGCTCAATTGCAGTCAGATCCGGTGAGTTCAAAGCTAGAAAAGTTCAGATCTAGCAAACAGTGATCACGATTCGGTGAAGTTAAGCCCAGATCTAACGGAGTTTGCATCGGTGACGCTTAGATCTGTTTCGGAGTTCGTAATTCATGCCTTTGCTTCGATCCGGAATCATGAGAGGGGGTGACAACTCCAATACGGTTGAGAACGTCCAGCAAGTGAAACTTGATGAGTTGATGAACATGATCGAAGCTCTCCGGAGAGAAAATGCGGATCTAAGGACTGAAATGCAGCGTCAAAAAGCTCCAGTGATTCCACGACCACTCTCGGTAGGAGAAGAAGGTGCACGTACCGATGCAGCACATCACGGTGAGGAGGTTGGAAACAATCTAGTAGATCCTCACCGCGAAGAAATCCGGCGAGACGGTTTGTCGCCAAATCTTCGTCGTATTGATGATCGAGAAGGATCAACTCACATAGATCCACGGCATGAGCAGAACAGGCGAAACGAAGCAATGACTTTTGATCCACATCAAGAAACGCTCAGCCGAGGTGAAGCAACAGAGTTGAATCGTCACAAAACTATGCCTCCATGGCGCAAAGACTTTGTTGACAACAAGTCATTCGATCCGACCTATCGGCCTTCCATGACGACATTCGACTATCACAGCTCAGAGAGGAAATCAGTTGACCAGAGAGCAGCCGCGGGGTTCCAGAGGGAAAATGAAGTACTCCGTTCAGCAGCTCGAACGGTTGATTCACCGTTCACCGATGAGATTCTGAATACTCCGAGTCTGAGGAAATTTTCTATGCCCGTTTTCATTCTGTTCGACGGAACGACTAATCCGATCTATCACGTGTATCACATCCAGTTGAAAATGGCTCTAAACACTGAGAATGACTCTTTGATGTGCAAGTGTTTTCCTACGAGTCTGGCCGGACCAGCTCTGAATTGGTTCAAGAACCTGTCGAGGGGTTCGGTGGATAGTTTCCGAAGCTTATGTGATCGGTTCATAAGCCAATACTATGGAAACAAGCGTCCAGCGAAAGATATTTCGAGCCTATTCACAATGAAGCAACATGCTGATGAACGTCTCCAGGCTTTCCTAACCAGGTTTAACCTTACCAAGAGCATGGTTATTGAATGTCACCCTTCAACGGCAGTTCAAGCATTCATATTGGCCATGAACCGTGGCACCCTATTCCACACAAGCTTGGTGGTGAACACGCCGAAGACTATGGATAAACTTAACGAAAGAGCCGATGGATTTGTGCGCTTGGAAGAAGAAGAGGCGGCAAACGCTCGGAAGACATCCGTCATATCCACGGAAGAAAAGACTAAAGCAAAGATCAGGCAAAAACAGGTTCAGCCGCAACGCTCCTCGTGGAAATCAGAGAAGAGGCCCAGAGAGGAAGAGCTGGTTACTCCATTGAAAGTTACCCTAGCGAGACTGTACCAAGAAAATAAAGATAAGTTCCGACCTCCTTACCAATCAGACAACCTCTCGAACAGGGGATCAGTCTAAGAACTGTGCATTTCATTCTGATTTTGGCCACCAGACTAACGAATGCAGGAACTTAAGGAGACAGGTAGAGATGCTGATAGCCAGAGGGGAGTTCGCAAGTTATATTCAAGGACCAGCGG